AATACGTTTCTTGACTGAAAGATTTATTTCATTTAAAATAAAAATTAAAATTAAACGATTGTTTATTAAATGAAATTGATTTTATATTTCAAAGAATACGCTAAAAGAATTTAAATCTTCCGAATCTTTGATTGATTTTTTCGATCGACTGTATGACGTATTTTCCAGGATCTGACGTACATTCTGCGCGACTTCCTCGAGGAGACCATGTCGCAAAATCAACCCGAGATCTCCTTAATCGGCATAGATCTCGATCCGATTCTGATCGAGAGAGCGCGCGAACGTAATCCGCGCCCGGATTGCGTGACCTTCGAGTGCTTGGACTTTTTATCCGAGGACTGTGGCGAGATTCTGAGGGGATATCTGGCGCGGATGAATAAAACGCGATTCGACGTGGCATTCTGTTTCTCGATCACCATGTGGATCCATTTGAATCACGGCGATGACGGTCTAGAGGCGTTCCTGCGTCGAGTCTGCGAGCTCGCGGAGATGATCGTCGTCGAGCCGCAGCCCTGGAGGTGCTACAGAAACGCGTCGAGGAGGCTGCGAAGAGCGAAATCGGAGGACTTTCCGTTGTTGAAGGAACTCAAATACACCGGCGATCCGAGCAAGCACATAGAGAACATTTTGACGAGGCTGTGCGACTTTCGCAGAGTTACCGTTACTGCGGGCAACGATTGGGGACGTATGCTCTTGATTTACGAGAGGAAGTCGTGATGTGATAGATGAATACACGATCGTGCATTTGTTTGGCACTACGAATACATTTTAACTCACCTCGACCATCAGGTCGTATCCATCAGATAATGCGGCGACTTTAATCGGCAACATATGCCCAGCATCCGCCTAGCGAGTTCTCCTTTCACGAAAGAGCGGTTTTGAGTGACCTAAAAATTTTAACAGATACAAATCTGAAGATAATTTTGTTAGACAATATAATTATACAATACGTTTAAATTGTTTGATAGAAATATCAAAAATTTTGTACAGTATCATACAGCCATACTTAAGCGTAATAATTTTTGTAAGAAAAAGAAAATTATTTTCAGACTCTATGAAGCTGAAGAAGTCTCATTGTATTAATTCAGTCTTTTCCACGACACTGACTACATTAATATGCGAAATCAACTACAACTGTATATGAAAACATGAAACATGAATATTGCGTTTAAATATTTATACATATCATAATGTACGTATATACAGATATCATCATTAGTATAGAGATAATAGATAAATCTTTGCTCATTCAACGTAGATAACGAATGGAATTATATAATACATAACGTAATTATTCAAATTACAACGGATGAATGTTTTATTTATGTGCACTCGTGTCGAATTCTTGATTTATTTCTTTATTATTTCAAATATTATTATTTCAAAGATAATAATCGGACAGCTTTCGAAAGATCTTTTAGCATAAACCTTTGGAACGTTTCGTAAATAAAAATTTTTCCTGTAATTCTTGCTTTTAAATCATCCCAATAAGCAGAGATAAATGATTAATTTCACAAGCAACAAGATAATAAATGTAAACAACAAAACTCACAGTTACTCACAGTGTTCTGTTGTCGCGTCCGATGTCTCTCAAACCTGCTTCTTCTCTTTCTGTTGCAACTCCTCTTTGCAGCTTCCTTCGTTGTATTGATATAACTTAACTCTTGCGAAAACATGGGTTAACTACGGATCGCACAACATTTCCTATGGAAATCTCAACGATAACTCACGCAAAATTCCGTGAAATGCAAGAAATATTGTTGATACATCGCGATTTTTTTATTAATTTCAGAAATGTTAGGTCGAATTGAATGTTTAAAAATTACAGTTCGGACAATCGAATCGTAGAATTGATTATTAATAATTCAATTCTTTCGAATTGAAGATATGTTCATATAGCTCGAACTTAGATTTAAATTCATTTAAATTTAAATTCACTTCAAATTTGAAAGTTTGAAACTTATTACAGTTTCAAACCTAAATTTAAGAAAAAAAGGATTCATAAAATTATTCTTTTATTTCTATATACATTTTGCAGTTTCACTAGTTCGCTCTTCTTTACCATCTGAATCGCGTAAATTTTGAACGAATTAATAATAGATCATTCGCCGCTAAAGAACCTAAATGTCCGAGATATTCGAAATTGCTGTTCTTAAATTAAGTTTAACTTGATTAAAATTTAAACTTTAATTTAAACGCTATATAATGACTTTCGAAATTTCGGATTTGAAAACATTTTCAATAAGCTCGAGCTGTTTGAACATATCTTCAGTCTGAATGTTCCGAATTGTTTGATGTTTGATTTTTAGATTTGATTTGTGAATTGTTTGATTTAAGTCAAATAATTGGAATCTAAAAATTATCTGCGACAGATATGTTATCGATTATTCGTTTATCGCCTCTATAGAAATTTGCATCCTCGACATTCAAAATGGTAGCGAAAGTGGGCGAATGTCGTCGCTCGTATCATAACCTTCATAACGGACGTGGTTGAGAATAACAATAACAGCAACAAACTAATAATGAATTCTGCGAGCAAGGTGAGTACAAAAGTCAAAACAAATTTATATACTTATATCTTGCGTTTGTAATTGTTTCGTAAATCTCGTGTGATGTCGCGGTCTGAGAAAAGTGCTGTCTTGGTTAGAAAAGAGGTTAAAAAAGTAAGAGTTAATGACAAATAAAAATGTTCGCTAATTAATTAAAGTTCATGAATGTATATATAACTATATGCATAATTGAAGCACTATTCGCTTTTAGGTCGGCGAGATCTTCGCCGCAGCCGGAGTGGCTTTCAACAAGCTGGGTGAGCTGACGATGCAACTGCATCCTACATCTGATTCTCTAGCAGGGTAAGTTGAGGTATACAAATATTGTAAGATCCATAAAATGTGTGGTCTGATTGGTAAGAGATTAAACAGTCTTAACAATATATGGAAAATATGAATCAGTCGGTGATAAAGCCACTTTTGAAAGATTTATAATTTTATCGTGATTGTTGTAACGGTATTTGTATAAGATGATTCTCCGATGGTACATACTGCATTATATTTGAAGACAACGCGAGACAAAAGGCAGAGATTCAACGACAAATCTGCGAAGAGCAAAAAAAGATTTTGTGACGACTAATGATAATTGGTTTCTCAATATGATAAAAATTTATAAATTGTAATGTAACTTAAGCGTCACAGAGTAGCTTCTCTCGTATTCCCGACAAGTTTACAGTGTATACCGCTGGAGTATCACCTTGCAGTATGATCATAGCAGGCCCCATACTCTTTTTCATAATTTTCTGTCCCCCTCGATGCGTAGTAAATGGGCTGACGAGGATATTGAGATGCTCCGTCAGTCGGTCAGGGTCTTCAGTGAAGAATTGAGCAGAATAAGCGAGCACATCAAGAGTCGGACGGTGTAAGTTTACAGTGACTGCCATCAAGGCAGTCGGTCCGAATCTCATACCGAACGTACTGCTCTCTTTTCCAGCTCTCAGATCAGAACCACTTTGAAAAAGAAGGCGTTTGAGGAAGCGGGAATGACTGTCAGGCAGCAACAGATTCTACCTCAGCAGGCACAACCATCTGCATTAGTTCAACAACAACCAGTTGCAAAGCAACAGTCGACATCAGGAAATCAGGGTCTGATGGGAAAATCTGCGGAAGTCACGCTGAATATGTTAAACGCGCCTGAGACAGAAGTAGACGTTGAGGGACTTCCCGAGGAATGTCAAGTAAAGCTCGAATTTGAAGAAGGCGCTACCGAAGAAGTCACTGGTTAAATTAATTCATTTGTTCATAAGTAAATAGCTAAAGACCTGGTGATACCATCTTCATTTCCTTATCATCTAATTGTTCATTAAACATTCGAATTTTAACTAGTTTTAAGCATCAGACTCATTAAGCTCATAAGTTACCTTTTTGCAATAAATGTATGAAAATTTAATTTTGTACTATTTTACGAAATTAACAATTGACTTTAAGTTTTCTGTGTCGATGGATTTACAATTAGGAACACAAATTAGGAACGCAATTTATGACTAAATTCAATTTTAATGTAAAGATGAAAAATTCCCGAAAAATAACCGATTATAAAAGTATAATAATGCCTCTCATGTTTTGAGTTATGTAATTGCTCTATATTATATATTCTTTATTTAAAATAGATATAT